GATTGGCAACCTGGGTGGCTCGTTGTACTATTTTGGCAGCTTCTCGCTTTCGTTTTTGTTATCTTCCATGGATGGCCGCTCCCTGGCAACCCGATGCTGGTCTGAGTCCGCGTAGCATTTTTTACTCTCACCCTTATTTTAATTTCTTTGCTTCTTGTTTTATTACTTGTAATCTATTGTTGTGGCCCCGTGGGGTCTTTGGTTGTTTCATTTCTTTTTTAATGTATTTTCTTTTCGTGAAAAAAAAAACTCTCTAAAAAATCACTTTTAATTTTTTTTTACGATGTTCCTTCTGCTTATTCAATTATAATTTTTGTTTTAATTTTTCTATATAATCATTACAATTATGTGATGCAAAATATTATTATTTTAGATATTTAGTTCAATTAAAGTAAATTCATACACATATCACATACGTAAATTTTAAATTCCAAAATCTCTTAATTTACAATCAAAACTCTATCAAGCTCTGTATTTCACTTATATATATTAGCATACCCTGTACTATCAAATGTAATATAGAAATCATTTTCTTCCTCATTCTCTCTGTCTTTCGTTCTCTTTGTATGGACGTTCTCTCAGGTCAAGAATTCCTTTATGGTATCAAAGCGTAATGGCTTAACAACAAGATCCATTAATGGTGGACCGAAGCTCCGCGATCTCCACCCTGAAAAGCCCAATTACAGCTCCGACGCGCGCATCTACAACTGAATTCTTTATCCCTCCCAACCTGAAATTTCTCATCTCAAACCTCAAAAGTCTTGTTCCGATTCTTCTTACCAGCGAAAATTATTCCATATGGCGCCTACAAATTCATCAAAACTTCGCAGCCAATGGATTCAGCGATCATCTCTCCAGCATTGCTTCTTTCCCACCGGAAACATCCAAGTCAAAACATGATCAATGGAAAATCATTGATCAAAATCTAATTTCAGCACTGTTTTCAACTATTTTCCCATCAGTTCTTCCTTATGTCATCACTCTAAAAACCTCTCATGAAGTCTGGGTCTACGCTCAAACTAAGACTTCAACCGACAAACATATCTCGAGTGATCCAGCTCAAGAACGAGCTACACCAAATCCAAATGAAGGATCGCACCATGCAACAGTACCTCACTCAAATCAAGACTCTCATCGATCATATAGCCGCTGCCGGATCGACGGTCGACTCGGAAGACATCATCCTATGCATCCTTAACGGGCTTCCTTCTACCTACAATGCGTTCAAAATTGCAATCCGAACCTCATTGAATCCAATAAGTCTAGACATTCTTTACTCTCTTATATGTAGTGAAGAGATCAATCTTCATCAAGAACAGGTTAAGGAAACGCAACAGCAAGCGGACTCCGTTGCCTTCTTTTCCAACACAAATTCTTACTCCAGAGATCAGCAAACGGGACGCTTCACTCGCTCACGAGGTCGCAGATCCAGTTCGCGTACACTGTCTCACCTCTCTTCACATACTCAAGGTCAGACCTCATCGCATAAGCCAACCTGCCAAATCCGTGGCATGATTGTTCACTCCGCACTAAACTGTTGGCACCGGTGTAACTTGATCTACGACTTTCCATCTAATACAAGAGCCCTCATGGTGCAGCAGTAGAACTCATCCACGGCAGACTGGGTTCTGGATTCGGGAGCCTCGTCGCACCTCACTACTGATCTCACTAATTTGAGTCAATCCACTCCATATAGCGGCATTAATTTAGTCTCCATAGCAAATGGTAATACTCTACCCATTCAAAACTCCATACAAGGTATTCTACCTCTTCCGAACTCGACGCGTAAGTTAAATCTTCAAAACATTTTACACGTTCCATCTATTTCTCATAATCTTTCGTCTATTTCAAAACTCACCGCTGACAGCAATATTGCCGTTTGTTTTGACGCTAATGGTTTTTTAATAAAGGATCGCAAGGACAACCAAACTCTTCTCCAAGGTCGCAATCATAATGGTCTCTACCACCTCACAACTTCTCCTAGCCGATCTGCCACAGTCATTTCATTACAAGCCACAAATCAGTCTACATCCCTCTGGCATGCTAGACTAAGTCACCCGCATCTTCGGGCTCTAAAATCTTTAGCAAAACATATTCCAGAACTTTGTAATTCTTTTAATTCTTTAATTACATGCATCTCGTGTAAACTGGCAAAGAGCCACAAATTACCTTTCCCTTCTAGCAGTTCTACTTGCGACAAACCTTTCCAATTAATTTACTCAGACGTTTGGGGACCTTCCCCTATGCCATCATTAAATGGATTCAAATACTACGTAGTCTTTATAGACGACTTCACAAGATTCTCGTGGTTGTACCTCATGCACTCTAAAAATGAAACGTTCACCAAATTTCAACACCTCCACAATCTAATTAAAACACATTTTCAAGGCTCAATTCAAAAATTTAGATCAGATGGAGGTGGGGAGTTTGTCAACAATACATTTAAATCTTATCTTCTCCAGCACGGAATCGAACACCAACTAAGTTGTCCCTATACCCCGGAGCAAAATGGTCTCGTTGAGCGCAAGCACTGCCATCTTCTTGATCTCACGAGAACATTTCTCCATGCCTCTTACCTTCCAAACTCCTTCTGGGTGGAAGCCGTCTCAAAAGCGAATTATTTAATAAACCGGCTTCCCTCCTCTGCCATAAAAAATCAAACACCTTAATCCAAACTCCACAACAAACCAGCTGCCTACAATCATTTGCATACCTTTGGTTGCCTGTGCTTTCCGTGGCTAAAACCCCAAGCTCAAAACAAACTTTCACCACGATCCCAGGAATGCATTTTTCTTGGATACTCATCCCAACACAAAGGCTACCGTTGTCTAAGTCTATCAAACAACCATATTCATATTTCAAGATGCATTACTTTCCTCGAGTAGGAGTTCCCCTTTAAATTAAAACAACTGCCCAACTCCTCCATCTCTCAGGACACAAACATGCAATCTCCGCTACTTCTGATCCCTCATTCCATCACCACAACCCATGTCTCGGTCGGCTCCTATTCCGGTCAATCACATGATCCGGGACCAACTTCCAGCCACAAAAACTCTTCCTCAACCATACATAGTTCAATTCATGCAGCATTTCTTCACCATCCCAAAACTCTAACGTCCTTACACAACTACCTCACGCTTACCCAATGCAGACCCGCCTCAAATCTGGTATCTTAAAATCAAAGAAAATGTTTGGCCTCTCAGTCATATCCCCGTCGGAACCTACTCCCACATCTTTTTCTCAAGCAAACAAATACAGTCACTGGTGCTCCGCTATGTCATCTAAGTTCTTAGCTCTCCAAAAGCAAGGAACCTGTTCACTCATTCCTCCTCCGCCAAATAAACTCATACTCGGCTGCAAAAGGACATTCAAATAGAAACTGAATCTAGACGATACCATAGAACAATACAAAGCACGCCTTGTAGCATAAGGCTGCTCCAAAAAATACGGTATAAATTATACAAAAACCTTCAGTCCCGTAGCCAAGATGGTTACAATCAGTATGCTGCTAGAAGTAGCTCTTCAAAATTGGTGGAAGGTGACTCAATTGGACGTGTCTAATGCCTTCTTGCACGGCGACTTACACGATGAAGTATACATGTAACAACCAACAAGCTTCGTCGACGCACAACATCCCACACATGTGTGTTGACTACAGAAATTCATATACGTGCTAAAATAGTCTCCTCGATAGTGGTTTCACCAACTCACTAACGCTTTACAATCTCTCGGTTTTACATTTAGCAAAGCTGACCCATTGTTGGTTCTTTTTAATCACAATAACACTCACATCTTTATTCTTGTATATATCGACGATATACTAATTACATGAAATGATCCAGTCAAAATTCATCATATTCTGCAACAGCTTCAATCAAAATTCAACATAAAACATTTAGGTGATGTCTCTCTTTTTCTTGGAATACAAGTGCAACATACACCGACTGGCTATTTTCTACATCAAAAGAACTATGCCCAAGAACTATTGCATTCAGCTGGCTTCCTCCACTGCAAATCGTATTCAACTCCTATGGCCATCAAAAGATCCAGTCAAACAAAAGACGAGCAGCCATTTCAAGACCCACACCTTTTTCGCAAGCTAGCCGGGGCACTACAATATCTCTCGGTGATTAGACCAGACATCGCGTTCGCAATAAACATCATTTGTCAACACATGCATCAACCACGCATCACCGACTACTAGGATTTAAAACGCTTACTCATATATATTAAAGGAACCATAGATTACGGTCTTCCCATCACAACAGGTAATCTCGAACTCTGCACTTATACAGACGCTGACTAGGCATCCGACTCTGCCGACCGCAAATCAATCTCTGGATTCTGCACCTTTCTTGGACCCACTATCCTCTCATGGTCAGTCAAGAAACAAACTATAGTGGTGAAATCGTCCATGGAGGCAGAGTACATATCACTTGCCTCCGCCACATCTGATGTCTTATGGCTCCGTCGCCTTGCAGATGATTTTCACATCCCTCAAAAGTCTCCAACTAAAATACTCTACGACAATACCTCGGCCATAGCACTCGCCAACAATCCAGTCTTCCACACTCGCACCAAACACATTGAGATAGACTACCATTTCATCAGTAGTCACATCTAGCAAAGCACAATCTACGTTCATCACATCAATACAATGAACCAGATAGCTGACATTCTTACAAAACCCCTCTCAGCACATCGGTTCTCTGATCTCCGTTGCAAATTGACCATTCGCTCAACAGAATGATCAATTTGCAGGGCGCTATTAGAGCTACACTCCTCGTCAACAAGATGACTCATGCAGACCCAACGGACAATCAAAATTATCAAGCTCTGTATTTCACTTGTATATATTAGCATACCATGTACTATCAAACGTAATATAAAAATCAGTTTCTTTCTCTGTCTTTAGTTCTCTCCGTATGGACGTTCTCTCAGGTCAAGAATTTCTTTAAAAATTATCTATAAATGATAAAAAATGAATTATTTAAATTTTAAAGGTTAGATATATAAATAAGATGATATGTCGGTAAATCCCACAATATGTAAATAAGCCAAACAACTTTCATGCCTACCCAAATTATCCGTAACACTTTGCAACCGGAGCTCGCTGCAGAAGGGCTTCTGCGGGACCAGCAACGTGCGAAGGAGAAGAGGTGCTCCTGAGAAGTTAAATCCCTCCAGATTAAGGTTTCGGGTTTATAGTTCTATAGAATTGAAGTTAGTTTTTTTTTTTTGGCAGGATTTAAGTTAAATCTTGCCACTAAACGGCCATTACTACAATGACTGAAATCCCTACGAAGATGAAGGCATGGATTTATGATGAGTATGGGGATGTCAATGTCTTGAGGTTAGATGAGGGGGTTTCTGTGCCTGAGATTAACGAGGACCAAGTGCTTGTGAAGGTTGTGGCCGCAGCACTGAACCCGGTGGATTTCAAGAGGAGGCTGGGTTGGTTTAAGGCCACTGATTCTCCGTTACCTGTAAGTTCATCATGTTTGTGCTCTCTATGTTGTTATTGTTCGAATTTAGTTCTTGTTGTTGATAGCTTTTAATTTTGGAAGACAGTGATATATGTTGCATGGCTGGGTAGGGGAAAACTTGTTTGAGCATAAAATATTTGAATTTTGAAACTGTAAGACTTATTTCGGTTCAGAATTTGAGGCGGAAATCGGCTTTTGAACTCCATTATCTGTTATTTTGTGAAACCACTTTTTTTTTTCTTTGGCTGTTTGGCTACAAGTAGGATTTAACTCTCCAGATTTAAGTAAAGTTTGAGGGGATTAAAATCTTGTAATTGTTTGGCATGGCAATTGCTAAATGTTACCAAGTCCTGATGGGGTGTTTGTCTGTTTGTTTCAGAGTTAATATTTGTGAGATTGTGTAATCCTTAAATCAGTTAAATTCTGAATATTGAGATTTAATAAATCCAGATTTAACTAATAATAGGGCTTGATACGTCCTAAAAAATTATCTTTATTGGGCGCGAATTTCGATGCAGAATCAAGTTGGAAATTTAAAAATTAATTTAAAGACCATCTGAACTCCGATTTCAGCAAACTTACAGTCGAACTGAGCGTATCGGAAATACGAACCCAACGACACCAAATTCAACTAGATCTGAGTCCAAATGGGTCCAAATCATGGACCCGAAGCGCTGTTGGAAGGTTCAAACCGCAATTTGAGATGCCAAACGGTCTCCGATTTTAACGAGCTTATACTCGAATCGAACGGCTCGACGAGACGAATCCAACGAGCCCAAGATCGCCGAATTCTGACATCTCTAAGGCCTCCAAATGCCTTACGAACGGTCCATGATCAAGGGGTTCAATATCAGCCGTCCATCCAACCACTCCCCATTTACCCTTGATCTCTCACCTATTTACGGGGCATGCCACTCCAGAAAATCTATAAATAGACCCCTCATTTCTCTTGAAAAAGGGGCCAAGCAAGAAGCAAGAAG